AAAGAGTTTAAAAAAATAGGAGAAGTGAGGGAATTTTTTTTATAATACAGTTTGGTTTAAGTGGTCAGTTGGAACGTTGACCACAAACTCCGGTTCCCACCGAGACTAACGTATTAATTACAAAATGCTTAATGTTAAATTTTCTGGAAAAACCACATTGCGGAAATATTTCTTTTGCATTTGCAGAAATTCTGAGGATTATCGAAGCGCTTTCTTAAACCGCAAGTTACTATTGTTGACAGCATGGAAAAAAGAGAAAAATCGAGTTTAAATTATCCATAATTTTACTAGTTGATTTTTGCAATTTCCTTTTGTGCGTGAATAAGCATTGCATTTTTATTTACATTCGGTAAAAAATATTTAATGATTCATTTGGATGTAATTTCCTATTTTTTTCCATTTTTGCTTTAATGTCCTTTTTTCTTTTATTATTTATTTTTAATTACTTTTATTTATTATATTAATTTTATTAATTTTATTAATTTTATTAATTATTAATAAATTTTATCCATTTATTTTAAATATTTTCAAACATTTTTTTCCCTTAAATATGAAAGGAATTTAAAATTTTTTCGTTTAATTTATTTTGTAAACTTAATGAGAAAAAGAATTTTTTTAGTTACAAGATGATAATTTACAAATTAAATAGCATAAATTAATCGGGTATTTAGTAACAGTATGGTGCTCTAAGAGATGAAACAATGGGACAAAAAGGCACTAAACCAATTTTGATTAGAATCGAACTTTGAAATCAGCGTATTATTCTGCATTGTTCTCGTTTTGGAAATTTTTTTTGTGCCCTCTTCTTTTGCTCGCTTGGACCTTGTAAGATCAATTTTTCGGCCCAGCCCATGGAAAACTCCGTGGCATAATTGAAATTTTATAGTTTGAGAGCGTGGAGACAGAATGGGAGTGGAGAATGAAAATGATGCGCAGGAAATATTCGAGAGCAACATTATATGGATGACGTCGCAAGATTTATGAAAGAGAAAAGATTTTTTGTTTTTCATTTTTTATTAACAAGATATAAGTTCAGAAGTGAGGGAATGTTGAAGAAGAAACTTTAAACATTGTTTTCTTTGAATAAGAGTTGTTTGCTAAATTATTTATTTTCAATGGGATTTAATTTAATGAACTAAATCTTCGATTTTAGGTCTCGACATTTTTTTTGCAGTGTGATATTATCAGAAATATAATAATAATAAAACTAATAATAATGACTTTTACGGACTCCAAGCAAAGTTACGGACTTTTACGGGATTTACGGACCTAGTTCGAGCCCTGTTACTGTAAATAAGAATTAATTTGCATTTTTACTGTAATTAAATTCGTATATCTGTCTGAATTGAGAACATTTGCAATAACTCGAGGATAAAAAAATAATTTTCATTCTGCAGACGAAATATGGAATTCCGTTGGACCATTCTCGAAACTACATTTGGCAAATTTCTATATATAGTCAGATCCAAAAAGGCGCTCGTTTAATTCACAACGCTCCACCCTCTAGCTATTAGGCTTTTGCATTTTTAACCTATGAATTCATCTTCTAAAAATTAACAACCCAATTAAAGACCCCATTAACGTCTCAGTATTCCCATTTTAGACTCCCCATGAGGGGGATGATCGTTTGCAAGTTTTAATTTTAGTTTTTATTTTTTTTTTTCGAAACTGCGTGATTAATCCAAAAAGGTGTCTTCTCATTATACACGCATATAGAGAACATTTGCTTTATGATTTCTTATCACAGACTCTATAATGTTTAAAATGAGCTCATTTTTTTCGTATTCCTGGCAACTTTATCAAAAAGAGAAAAAAAAAACCTCGTGACTTGAAATATACTTTACTTTGATATCTTTCTTTATAATAAAGTTAAATAAACTTCAAAAAAAAAAAAAAAAAAAAAAAGGATGAGAAAAAGGAAAAAAAGGGAAAAATTCGTTGGGAAAAAATAGAAAGTAAATATGAAGATAACGAGAATTTTAGTCGGTAGCACTTCTCTTCGAGAGACAAGATATTCCCTCACGCGCATGAGAAAAGAAAAAAATTTCTTATCGTATACCAAGAAACTTGGAACATTTGTTTCTTCCTTAAACGTAATAAAGTTGTCATTGCAAAAGGGTTCCGATTGATCCAAAACTTGTTGCACATTTATCTGTTAAGTGATATCGTATTCCGAAAATGGAAAGAAGTCGTAAGCGCCTCTCTTTTTCATCAAAAGTCCAATATATATGTATATATATGTGACTGCCGAATTTCTTCCCAATAAACATGTTTATAGAGAATTATTTTCGAAATATACATCTCATTTATTTTCAATCTCAAATGGGATAATATGTAAATTCGTTAATATATTCTTGTGGACTCCCGTCAAATCGTTTACTTAAAAGGGCGGAGTACTTCTTTTTTTAAGATTATTAAAAAAAAAGAAATTTTTATCTTCTGATCCTCGATATTCATTTTTTATTAAAAGGCATTCATTAAATTATTAATTAGAAGATGAGTTCGATTGATTTGTACTTGTTAATTGGCAATCATAATATTTTTCAATTTTTGTTAATTGAAATTTTTGTAAATTTCGAAGATGGGGTTTTATTTATTTCTTTTTTCTAGAAATGGAAATTTTTATATTGTTTCTATATTATAGATGGTAGAATTTATAATAGAACTGTATTTAAGTATCTTGTGATTTAGAACTATGATTCTAGGATTGTTAATGGAAATGTTTCGCGTATTAAAAATTTGTATTTTTTGCCTTTAAAGTCTATAAATGTGTACATAATTTTACGGAGGGAAAAAGAAAGAGAGTTCGAAAGAAAGCTATTTATCATTTTGGTTTTCAGCAGACACCTGCGCATTGTCTTAGATATTTTTCTTTTGTTATTGAAGTCACGATTTTTCTTTTCTTTCAACGGTCCCTTTTTAGAAAACAATAAGTTGTTAAAAGTAATATTTCACCCTTGTTTTACGAACTTGTAACTTTTCAACAGTCTATTTTTCAATTTTTGGCTGATTTTTTTTGTATATGGTTTTGAAAACTTTCATTTTCTCTTTGATGAAAAAAATTTCAAATTCAAAATTTTGTGAAATTTAATAACTTATAAAAATATTATTATAAAACATGAAGATACCGAGTTTTTGACTCTTCATGTTTTATAAAAATTTTAATTTCCATCAAATTTTTCAAAAAGAATTAAATTATTTACAAAAATTTTAATAAAATCCTTCGCAAGAATTAAATTATTTTTTAAAAGTAATAAATTTCAATTATTTTAAATACAATTTTAAATAAATTCCTCGAAAAATGGAATTAGTTTTAAAAATTTTTTACAAGAAGTCAATCACATTTCACGAAAAATAAAATTCTTCGCTGACATTCAAATAATTTAATAAAAGTTCTGAAAAGAATTCAATTATTTAAAAATTAAAAAAATAATTAGTAATAATAGAATTCGAAAAGAAAAACTTTTCTTCTTCGGATGAAAAATTCCCCTCTTTATATCCTTCTATCGACAAAAAGTAATTCCCTTCCTTATTTCCTTCTTCTGATAAAAAAAAACTGATTAAAAAAAGTAAGAACTGATAAAAACTATAAAGACTCAGAGAAACAATGATTTGACTTCCAATTATCCTCGATTGTGTATATATAAATGTTGAAGCTGCGCTGGACCAAGTGCACACTCTCTTCAATGATATTCATCTGTCTCATTCGTTTTAATAATTTGACCCATTAATCAGGCCTATCTAGGCTCGTGTTCTTTTTCTCGAGTCCGGACGAAATCGATTAAAGTGATGGACTGACAAACTCGTCTGGAGGGACAGCTGAGAGAAAAGAAGAGAGAGAGCGAGAGATAGAGAGAGAGAGAAAAAATATTGTACACTAATTAGAATAGTTGGTGTATGACTCGAGAATGGAGATTTCATAAATTCAATTATTTTCAAAAGTAATCAAATTCTTTTTCAAAATTCAATTATTATTAAAATTTTTAATAAAATTCTTGGCCAAATTCAATTGTTTAAAAATTTATGGCAAAATTTCAATTATTTTAAAAATTTTCCTCAATTTCACATTATGAATTCTATTATTTACAAAATTCTTTATGAAAATTCAATTTTAAGAGTCAAACAAGTTGCAATAAGAGGAAAAAAAACGGATTTTATGGAAAAAATAAGGGAATACTTTTTACAAGCGGAATAATTCCGCCTAATCGACGATTTATTTTCTTTCCGAATTTTTGCGAAATGCTTAAATTTCTGCCATACGCGCGAAATTCTCATTTAATGACTTATCGTTTTGACCGTGCGCCTTTAGCGTCACTCGCAACCCGGCTATTAAATTCAAGATTCACGCCTTTTCAAAGAAAAAAAAAGTAAAAAAAAACCAGAAAAGAAAAAAAATTCTGTTAAAGAATCATCTTTTCTACCTTAAACGATTTCTAATATCCACTGCTAATTACTTCCTCATTAAAAAGAAAAAAAAATGAAACGCCCAACACTTTCATGCCCTGCGGATATTTTCTGTACAAGTTAATTTCTATTTCACGAAATTAAAACGATCCGTGTAAATCAAGAATTATTTTTTTCTTTTAATTTCTCAAAATGATAAACTGTATATAAGCATAAAAAGTTTTTTTTTTATCTTATTCACATCTGACGGCGCATATGTATTTTCAAGGCTGACGATAATAATTTTTCGAGTCTTGTCTATCAAGGATATCAAGCATTCCCATGTATTCGAAAATTTGCATAATACTTTTGTTCGAGTTAAATATAGATCGCATTCTGTTTTTCGATATTAATCCTGAACTTGTAGCAATCTTATGAATTTTTGTTTGACATAAAAAATTATTTCAAATGTAATTATATAGTACGTACAATATTATTTTAAACATCCTTCACAATATAGTACATACAATATAATATTATAATACCTAATAATAATTATAATTATAATATCCAATTCTTTCTGCGAAAAATATAATTATTATAAATATATTTCCTACCTTGAATTTGTTGGTCAGCACCCTGAAGCTGCTTGCAAACCTCGAATGTGTATCTGTAACAGAAAAATACGCGTAATTTAGAAAAATTTTTTCTATCTTTCATGAAATAAAATTAGAAATTTAAAATTATTTTATATTATTTATTTATTATTTAGAAAATTATTTATGAATTAAAAAAAAATTATTGAATAGAAAAAAAATTACTCCTTAATTATTTAATATAATTTTTTTATTATTTCGCAATTTGTGTATTATTTATGAATTATCAAAAAAAGAAGTTAAAAAGTTAAAAAAAAATCCTCGTAAAATATGATAAAAATATTTATTATTCAATATAAGAATAAATATTATTATCAATAATAATAAAAAAAATACCTTCTTATGTATAATGAGAATGTAAAAATATTTTGGAAATAAAAAAACGAGTTCGAACTTTCTATCAAAAATCTATACAGACAGATTTTTATTGTTGATAGGATTACGCAACTCTCAAGGAGCACCTTCGCTCTCTTATCTAAAATCAATAGCTTCCTTATTGACAATCTTATCGGACTCACAGGTCTTACACTCAATACTATAAAAATTCCAATGTCGAGATTATAACAGTAGGTCTAGACAGTGGCGTATTTTAACAGTACAATGTCTTTTATTTCCCCACTATAGAAAGTAACAAATTCACCAAAGAGAATAAAAAATCCATTAAATTCAAACAAAAAGTCTTGATTAATTTTTTTAGTAAATGTCCAATAGACCGAAAAAGAATCAGGTCAAATAAGAATTCGACCTCAAAATTAGGCCAAATAAAAATTGGACCACCAAAAATCAAGCCAAATAGAAATTAAACCAAAACTCAAGCAAAATAGAAATTAAACCAAAAATCAAGCAAAATAGGAATTATTCCACAAAAACAGGTCAAATAAACATTTCCCAAATATAAATAAAATTTTAAATAAAAAAAAATGCAGATGTTGTAAATTTAAAGAAGATAATGTCAAATAAAAAGTTAGGTCAAATTAATCAGCCAAATAAGAGTTAGGTCAAAAAAATATTTAGCCAAATGGAAAATGAGGTCAAATTGGGAGGCAAATAAGAGTTAGGTCAATGAAATACTTTGTCAAATAAATAATTAGGTCGAAAATCAGTCAAATGACAGTTAGATCGAACAAATATTTCGCCAAATAAGAAATTAGGCCAAAAAGTCAGCTAAATAACAGTTAGGTCTAAGAAATATTCAACCAAATAAAAATTAAGTCAAATAATTAGCTTAATAAGAGTTAAGATAAAAAAATATTCAGCCAAATGACAAACGAGGTTAAAGAGTCAGCCAAATAAGAATTATGTCAATCGAATTCTTTGGAAAATAAATAATTAGGTCCAAATTCAGCCAAATATCAATTAGGTCGAACAAATATTTTACCAATTAAAAAATTATGTCCGAGCTTAATTTTTAATTAGGTAAGCTAAATAAAAATTAGATCGTGGAACTAATTAACCAACAAAAACTTAGGCCATATATTAGGTGGAATAACGGCTGGTTAAATAAATATTTTACGAGCTTAAAAATTAGGTCACATGGTCAGCCGAATAAAAATTGGGTCAAACAAATATTTCGCCAAATAAAAAATTGCTTCATACAACTAATACCAGAAAAATTTAACCTTTCCACTCAAATATCGAACATTTCTGTAAAAAAAGGTTCAAATAATTAAAATAAATAAAAAATTCACTTTTTGTAAATTATTTTTTACGACCTTGAAATATTCTCACCCTGGCGACATTTTTTTCAATTTACGCTTCATTACAATTGAGGCTAAAAAAAAGGCTGCGCCCTTTTATAGCAGCTGATTGTGATTTGATTATTTTTGTTATTATTATTATTATCATTTTAGTTATTCACTGTCGCCAGCATTGTTACATTCATGTCGATGAGCTCGCTGCATAAGTACTGAAGGTAAATCGTGTTCCGGTTGATGGTTGGTAAGTGACGCTTCGAATGTGCCCTCCAAACGCCCTCAAAAGCATTCAACGCGCTCATTAACTTCCGGTACCAACGCGCTCGGATGCACCTTGACTTTAGCTTAAAATCAAAGTAGAGGCCATTCTCTCATCTTCACCTTCATTTTCTTCCCACTTCTTGAACAAAGAAGTCAGCAGTCGGGTGCATTGTACACAAAACAGGTTCATATATCCCTCTCAGAGAAATCATTACGAATCTGTTTTTTATCAAAATAAAATTTAAAAAAAACTTACAAATAATACCTACAATTAAAAAATAGTCTTCGAAATTGAAATATTAAAGAGGAAAAAAAATTAAAGAAAATTTTTCTGTCCCATTAGAAAGTTTATATTTTTTTCTATTCCAAAACTCTTGAATATTAATATAATGTAATTATCTAAAGATGTTCTCCACTCATGAAGATAAAGTGTTTTATCAAGTTTTCGGCTCTAAGAGTCCATTTTCAAACGCAGTAAATTCAAAATTGAAGGAAAAAAAGAATCTCTGAGCTCATTAATATACCAACTGTTATCGTTTTTGGTAATAAATTAGCAAAAGAATTCATAATTCTGTCATTGACGGCAGTATAAAATTTCATAGATGGTAGAAGGTTATCTAAATACTATCGAATAAGCATGCCGGTTTCTAGATTAACCTAAAGAGTACTTTGCGGTGTATTAGACATTTTTAAAATTTCATCACTTCCACTTTTACGAATAGTTATACTGTCAACACATTGCTCATGGCTCTTTAAAAGAAAAAAAAATTCATTCCACAGGAATCTAACAAGTGATAATAGTACCGCAATCTAAACTGTAATAAAGTTTCTACATTTCATATAAATATGTGCCCACTAACGATTTCTCTGCTATTTGAAAAATTTTTACCGGATTTTTTTTCTATTACATTTTTTTGTCTGTTGCTTTTCATTTTATATATTTTACTAACCATTCTACTTAATTGAGTAAATGTTAAGATTTGAATATTTATACTTAAATAAAGTAAATAAATATTTTAGTATTTATTTTCCTAATATTTTACTATTGGTTGCACTAACAATTTTATAAAAATTTGCAATTTTACTATTTTACAATTTTACAAAAAAATTTACAAAAGTTTACAAAAAACTTTACTAAATATTTTACTATACGTTTTACTATATTTTTGCTGTATGTTATAGTAAAAATTTTAGTAATTATTTTGCTAAAATTTACTAAATATTTTACTAAATTTTTTGCTTTATATTTGCTAATAATTTTAGTCAATATTTTACTATTTATTTTAGTTCTTCTTATATCAAATATTTTACTACTTATTTTACTTTATTTTTTGCTAAATATTTGATTAAACATTACTCACATATTTTTCTAAAATTTACTGAATATTTTGTTATAAATTTTACTATTTAATTCACTACATTTTCTAATGTTCACATTATACTTCATCTCCTACTATATTTTTTTCTAGCAATTTTTAATGTAATTAGTAATTTTTGCTAAAATTTACTAACTATTTTAGTGTTAATTTTAGTGTCAATTACCAAATATTTTACTACTTATTTTATTATATTTTTTGCTTTATATTTTACTGAACTTTACTAAATATTTTACTTTATATTTTTGCTATGTGTTTTACTAAAAATTTTACTTTATAAATTATTACATTTTTTGCTATATATTTCACTAAAATTTGCTAAATATTTTATCACAACTTTTGCTATATACTTTGCCAGAAATTATAGTAAATTTTTTTTTAATTTCTAAAATATTTTACTTTATATTTTATAATATCTTTTGCATTATACTTTGCTATATATTTTAGTAATAATATTACTAATAATTCTACTAAACAACATTAAATATTTTATTAATCATTTTACTAAATATTTTATTATATCTTTTGCTATTGATTTTGCCATAAATTTAACTAAATTTGATTTACATTTTACTATATATTTTACTATTTCTTTTCTTAAAAATTATTCTATTTATTTTATTGCTGTTTATATAAAATATTTTACAACTTATTTTACTATATTATTTTACATATATTCTACTAAACTTTATTAAATATTTTACTATAATTTTCGTTGTATATTATGCTATATTATATTTTTCTATATTTTTGCTATAAATTTTACTTAGTTATTAAATATTTTACTATTTATTTTGGGAAATACTTTAGAACATTTTACTACATATTTATTGCTAGGCATATAAGTTGGTACATTTTTTACTAATAATTTTACTAAACTTTAGCGAAAATTTTTGTAGAAATTTTAGTATTTAAATCTATAATTTTTCTAATGTTTATTTTACTATATCTTTTACTATAGTTTTTTCTAACAATAGCACTAAACTTTACTGAATATTTAGTATTTAATTTACTAAATATTTTATAATTTATTTTACTAATAATTTTACTAAGCTTTACTAAATATTTTACTATGTATTTTACCAAATCTTTTGCTGTACATCTTGCTATATATTTTAGTAATAATTTTACTAAAAATCATAAAATATTTTACTAATAATTCCACTAAACTTTACTAAATTTTTTACTAAATATTACTTCCTCATAGAGGAAGTATTTTACCATTTATTTAGGTAAATACTTTATTAATATTTAACTATATATTTTACTTAACTTTACCGAATATTTTTTCCAAAAATTTTACTATTCAATTCCCTAAATTTTTTAATATTTATTTCACTTCATCTTTTGCTATACATTTCAATAATAATTGTACTAAACTTTTTACCAAATATTTCAATAAACATTTTCCTATAATTATATTTCAAATAAAAAATTTTAAAAAGAATAATAAAAAAATAAATAATTCCATCATAATGTTTGCCTCCAAGTACCATAATTCGAGACAAAATTATTTATCATTATCACCAGTGCAATTAATAACATGTAAATATAATTCTAATAAAGAAAGATTGCACGAGTCGTGGGATTATCTTTTCACTGGATTATACTGTGTGCGAGATTTTAACCGCATGCTAATACTAATGATTCAAGGGGGTGGGGAGGGAGAGAGACTGAAGAAAACTTTTAAGTTTCCAGGTACCTGCAAATTTTACGCAGACGAGATAAAACCTGGTTTAATTGCCAAGAGAAGGCCAGCTGTTGAAACGAAGTGGAAAGTACATACCACCACATAAATGCCTAATTACTTCTTTTCTTATCTGTATATGTATATATATATATATATATATATTCTTGGACAAAAATAGTACACAAGTCCCTTATCGTCTGAAAGCACTTTTTATCGAAGATGTTAGAGATCTCGACATTTACTGTTGCCAGGAACCATCTCCGGTATAATTAGCTAATTGTAAAGCTTCCCAATAACAAGAAATACCGCATTGCTTCTTTTTTTTGTTTTCTTTTTGTTTGTTTGTTGCAGGAGATTCTCATGAAAATACACAAGAATGGAAGGACAACCGCGTCTCTTAAACAAATTTCAACCAACTTTAGTGCCCATTAAAATGCATATTTTACACGATACGAAAATGCATTTGACATTCATTTTAATTCTCGTCCCCCCCCTCCCCCTCTTCGCCGCCCCTTTGGAAGAAATTAACAATTAATACATTTTTCATTTTCAATTACCGAAAAATATTTTAATTAGTTTTCAAATTTAATTTTGTTTAATTAAATACAAAATAATAGGAATAAATTTAATTATAGAAAAATATAATTACAAATTGGGAGGTAATTAATAAATAATTACCTGTCAATTTGTAATTATTAAATAATTTAATTATTTTTTGTTATTTGTTGTTGTTTTTTTGTATTATTGAATATTTGCGAATTTCTTTAATTATAAAATTATTCGAAAACAATTATTTTATTTGTCATAATTATTTAATCATTATTAATATTATTTTTCCATTGAAATTAAGATTTTCAAAAATTTCAAATTGAAACCTTTTTGAAATTAAACAACTTATAAAAATATTATTATAAACATAAAGAAGTCAATCACTCCAAATCTTCGACTCGGAGTAATCGATTTCTTCATGTTTTTATAATAATTAACGATAATAACCCAGGGATAAAATAATTATTTTATATAAAATTATTGTTCCTCCTAACTTCTTCGAAATTATTTTCATTATTTAAATTCAATTCTTATTTTCTAGAATTTGAATTTTAAACCTTTTCAAGATTCAATTATTTCTAAAAATCCATGCTATAATGCTTTTAATATTAAATTATTATCTAAAATTTTAACCGAAATTCATTTTTAACTCAATTTTTATTAGAAAATTCTACGAGAATTCAATTATTCAAATTCAAAAATAAATAATTTATTCAATAATTGAATTTTATAACAATTTTTGAAAATAGTTAAAAAATTTTTGAGGTATTTTATTAAAATTTTTAAAAATAATTGAATTCCTTAGAAGAATTTCAATAATAATTTATGAAAATAATTGAATTTATAAAAATTTAATTTTAAGAAAAATTAATTTCAAAATTCAATTATTTTTAAAAATTTACGCTATGTTGCTTTTAATATTCAATTATTATTAAAATTGTATTAAAAATAATAGAAATTCTGCAATGAGTTGTATTTGTGAAAATAATTGAATCCCTAAGAAGAATTTTATTATTTTTAAACAATATTTAATTTTTTCGAAGAATTGTAATTGCAAAATAATTGAATTTTTACAATAATTTGAACTTTTAAAAAATTGAATTTTTTTTCGTGTTTTTCACTAAACATCTTCTAAAAATCCATTATTTTTAATAAATTTTTGAAAAAGTTCTTTAAAAATTTTCAAATTCATTTGTTTACAATTCAGTTTTAAAAAATTTCAATTATTCGTAAATTCTTCAATTAAATATATATTAGCGCAAATAAAAACTTTAAATAATTTCAAAAAAAATCCGAAATTAAAGTTTTTAAAAAAAATTAATTCTACAGAATTGTTAGTTAAACATATGAAAAATTTAGATTTGCAAAAATTTGAATTTAAAACCTTTTCAAGATTCAATTATTTCTAAAAATCCATGGTATAATGCTTTTAATATTAAATTATTATCTAAAATTTTAACCGAAATTCATTTTTAACTCAATTTTTATTAGAAAATTCTACGAGAATTCAATTATTTAAATACGAAAATAAATAATTTTTAAAAATAATTGAATTCGTGAGAAGAATTTAAATAATAATTTATGAAAATAGTTACAATTCATAAAAATTTAATTTTAAGAAACGTTCAACTACTCAATAAATTATTCATTTTTGTATTTAAATAATTGCATTCTCGTAGAATTTAAAAAAAAAAAATTTATTCCAAAATTAATTTCGATTCAAATTTTAGATAATAATTTAATTTTGAAAAGTTTTGAAATTAAAATTTTTTTATAAATAGGTGGCGTAATTTTTCTGCAGAAGTCAATTATTTTTTAAAATTTGAATAAAATTCATGGCAAAATTTCAATTATTTAAACAAAATTTAACAAAATTCTTCGCATTAATGCAATTATTTTCATAACTTATTATTTGAAT